CGATTCGATTTGAAAAAATCAAATCAAATTCAAATTGCTTAAATATTTGATTCGATTCGATTTTGAGGAACCCTAAGCAAAGGTATCAATAATTTTGAGATCTACATCACCTTTTGCTAACTTCACACAGAATATTGACTGACACAAGACGCTGGCAACAATTTCATTTTTATCATTACTCTTTGGACCTAAGCGTCAATGATTAGCAACAATGTTTATAAAATTACCGATCTTAACACAATATTTTGCCTTTTCCTCTATAGTGAGTTTTCCCCTGACAAGAGAGCCTCTATCTGCTCTTACTAAATGAGCATCTGTTATCAGTGTCTCTAGTAAGGGCAACCTTAATACATCTGCAGGCTATCTAATTGAAAAGTAAAGTATCAAGTTCGGGAGCATGTTCACTTAATTATTCTGGAGTGAAGTTGGCTGACAAATTATACTTTTCTAGAAACTGATTCAAGATGTCAACATAGTTATTAGTTTTGGGTTTTCAAGTCTTTGAGGTAGCTGTTTTGGTAGTCATGTCAATACTAACTATTATCTAGTTATATTATGTGAGAAAAAAGTTCAATTTGAAAAATTCTCTCAGAGTTATACTTCCTCAGAAAGGGAAAATATCAGAAATGGCTCTTGAATAAATTAAAGGATCGAAAAAAATGATATAAGCATATAGCTTATGCTTTGCCATTAAGCACTTTACAGACCAGCATAACACATTTTTGAATATCTATAATAAAAATAAAGAGAAGTTTAGGCTATATTAATCTTAAAAACTTTTTCAAAAAAAAGTACTACGACATTTGGTCTCTTTGTGAATATATATCTGATTTAGAAGATGAGAATTATCCAACTTGGCCTTGCTTAAATAAGAAAGATGATAGGTCTATCTGCGGGAAAAGATACTTTCACGAGAGTAGGTGTGTCAGACACTATAAGTCTTCACCAAATAAAATGTGCGCATTCTGTAATAAGCCAATTCATTCTCAAATTAGCTTTCGTATAATATATAAGAAAAACTGGCTAGAGAGTCGCAAAAAGAGTGAGTAGGATTTAAATATCTATAATAAAAGTGAAAATGAAGTTTTAAGAATATTAATATCAAAAATACCTCATATGAGTTGTTTTATTTGCTAATACATCAAGAGAAATAGTTCGATTTGTGAGAAAGGATGCATAAGTGATTTAGAATGCGCCAGATATTTTAATGCCCTTTTTAGAACAATATGTCTTATCTGTAAGAAGGGAACCTATTCTGATACTGGAATCTGTAGCACACATGGTGGAATTTATGACCGTACCTGACACAAAAGTAAAAAAAACTAAAATAGAATCTAATATAATCAAGACTTAGTTGAATAATGATCTGGGTTGAAATATTATTTATCCTACCCTATAGAATCAAAGAGTTCCTGAATCTCGTTATTTGTATTCAGCTTGTATGGTAGAAGTTCTGGTGTGCCTTTATTTCAAAACCAGTACTAATATATAGCTGGTGATTAATTCAGTATGAGTATTGACTAACTTGTTGTCCTTTAGACCTTATTCTTTTTTTATCACTTTCAACAGTATACCCATATCAATTGCTAGCAAATGCATTAATTATTTTTATAGCTGAATGAAGATCTAGTATTTCTTTTGCACGAGACTTAAAACCAAAAAGTAATAAATATTGGTTTCAAATTTCTATAAACTTTTCATAAAACTGCATAAATGATTCTAATGCAATATCGCTAGAAAGAGTACGCTTGTCATCAATATAAGTAAAGCCTAATATTTGAAAAAGTTTTTGTATAACTTCCTAATGCTTTACTGAATAAGATTTACGCAAGTCTTTTACCACTGATTTTTCAGATTCTCTTTGGCTTTATTGCAGACAATTTCCTATTGTACATTTTTCTCAGCTTTCAATCCCTTCATTGCATTCTCCTCATCAAATCCTTGTCTTCAAAAATAAGACAGCTGTAAGAAATGCTTCTGAGCTTATAGTAAACTAAAATTTTCAATAAATTTTCTATTACAAATATTATTCTAATTCTTGATATTCATGTTTTTACAATAAAGATTCCGCATATAAAACGTTTAAGTGCTATAGTATCTGCAATAGAATGCTCTTGATCGAATTTAAGGACTTCAGCTTCTTCAGAATCAAGATTTTGAGAAGTAACAACTGCATTAAAATCCATTTCTTTGATAACTAATACTTCAACCCTAATCTTATTGCAGATTTTTTTACGATTCCCTATAACTCCTCAGCTCTCATTCACTTTTATTAGCTGAAGAGAAGCATCGGTACTGGCTATAAGATTACAAAGCTTCTTAATAAAGTATCTTACAGAAAGGCGTTTCTGATGTTCAACTTCAATAAAGTTATTATGGATGGAGATTCATCAGCTTTATAAGAAATGATATTATTATTTCATTCACGATATCCTTTTATTGCTGTAGGCAAATTATTAGGCTGAGCACTTTCAAGTTCAGCTCGAATATTTTCACAACCTGGAGGCGAAAAAGTTTGTTAGAATTTTTCTGATAGAATAAGAAAACAATACGATAGGAGGAATCACGAATTCAGTAAAGCATTTGTGCAAGAGCTTCAACATGAATTAGAGTGGCAATATTTGTAATGGCTATGACTATATCGAAGTGGCCTATAATTTCAAAAGATATATCTGCTTCCATTGTATTTGTATAAGCTATACAATCAAGTATCATTAATATTAGAAAAGTCTTTTTGTCTTTACTTTCCATCCATATTCCCATAATATGTATGGGCTCTAACAGACGAATTATCAGATTTAGATAACTTATATGCTTTTCTACTAATGCTCTAGCCATCACTACTCCAGTAGATATAATTGTTACACGCTTACATTGCCTTAAAAACTCATATCCTATTCTCATAGCTTTGGTTCCACTATTCAGATCATAAAGAATTCAACCATTTCATCTACACGAGGCTGATATCTATTATTAACTATATGAATGTCTTCACTAAGATATGCTTTAAGAAATGCCAATGTTGATTTTTTCGCAAAAGCATCCATGACCAAAACATGTCTTGTAGATATTAAAATATCACGCATTGCATTCTCAGACTCTCGTGCATTTGTACAGCTAGACATTTGGCATATGATAGCATTGGCTTTATCGAGAATGGCTACAAATAAATAAGCTGTGAACTCAATATGAAAAAGACTCTCAACTTATACTATGATAATATCTCACTTATTTATAGATAAGTCTCCTAGCATATTTTGATAGTTGCAAATTTAGAAGCTGAACGCTTTTAACTCATCAAGTTTTGCTTTTGATTCGTTACTAAGAGATTTTTGGTAAGAAATCCAGATATAACATGGTATAGAAGAGATATCATGCATCTTACTCTTTAATGTCATAATGATTTCTCTTAATGTAGTGGTTTTTCATATTGTTGAAGATGAGTGAATTAATGTAGTTGTTCTTTTAGTGCCTAAGAAATCAGGATATGATTCAGAAGCATCCTTCAGCTTTTTAACATTAATAACTTCTCCTGGCAACTCTACAAAAGGATGTGGTTTTGTTACGGCATTAGATATTCTTTTAGCTATTTCTCGTTTAACTACAGTAGGAATTTTAATTCCTTCTCCAAATGCTAATCCTTTATGATCTGATTTATATTGCTTTTGCCAATAGTATTTAATTACAAAACAGCTATTACTTTGAAGAAAACTATATAATTGATCTCTTTCATGTTTGATTTCACAAATAGGACATGCTTTATATGACTTCGCTTGAAAGTTGACAAATCACTTCTTAATGTTACCGATTTTAAGCCATTCAAATTTTGTCGTAACTTGACTAGCTCCTTTACTCAAAGCAGTTTCATTTTCGATAGGTTGGAATTCATCCTTTTCTGGCTTTTTAGGAGAAAAGATCTGTAGTCAGATTTTAGAAGCATCCCATTTAGGTTGAATTAAATAATTTTCTAACTTGCAATATCTTTGTTTAACTGAAGAAATTGCAGGTCTTTTAACTCTATCTTCCTTTGCTAATCCAAGGAGCCGAAGACTAAAATGTGATTTGTAAAGTCCTATATTAATAAATTCTGAGTATGGTTTTCCAACCCTATTGGCAACTTTTTTTATAAAACCTTTAAGGTCTCTGTAATCAATAAAATAAGTATGAGGATATATGATATGTCAACTGCATTTATCAGCGTTAAACGAACTGGCTAAAGTAAAAGCATTTAAAGGTACAAGATGTTTTAAATTAGAGTATATAATATTTGCATAGGCGATTAATATTCTGGATAATAAATCTTTGCAAGTAATTTTATATTTATCTAAGAAAGGGAGTTCAGGATTCATAGAATTAGGTTTTTGCCTCGCATCAATATCTAGAATCAGATAAAGAGACAAATTTCCATAAATGCATTCGTGAGCATCAAGCAATCCATAAACTTCAGATGGATGATTGACTATTATAAAACCCTTTTCTGATATTCGGATTATATATTTATCAAAAATCTCTTTAGAATGATAGACATCTAGAAGAGAGATATCATTTTTATTATTAGACAGATATTGAAAGTATACATGATTATTATAACCAGACTCAAAATTGAGGTCGGCTAAACTAGAGAAGAGCCTGATTGCTTCATTTATTGTTTTAGGGCTCGACCTGTGCTTATTTTGCACAAGAAGCATAATAGTATATTCAAGAAACTAGTATAAAATTACATAGAAACTTGGAAAGTTCAAAATAAAAATGTAATATGATCGCCAGTAAAGTATTAGGTCAGTGGTAGTATCCCAAAGTAATCAATATAATAATGCCTAAAAGTAATCAATGTAGTAGTATCCCAAAGTATCCCTTTATAGCAACTATACAAGAAAGAGTTCTAGAAAGGCAGGAGTAAAAAATAAGATATAAATTTGGTAGTAGAATAATATATAGGAAAGAAATAAAAAGTCATGCTTTGATGTACTACCACCAATAGGCAGAAAAGAGATTGGAAAGGCAGAAAGATTTAGGATGATACAAAAAAAATAGTATGAAAACAGTATAGCCTGAACCATTTCGGCATTTTATGCTTCAATCCAGCAATCAAATGGGAATATAAAAGGCAGGATTGCGCATCTGGGACATCAACTCAGCATTTTGTATCTCATCCTCAGCAACCAAAAAGTCATACAAAGTGGAATTGCAAGAATACGCATAAATTCAGCACTTCGTGTCTCATTCCCGGCAATCAAATAGGTTATATAAGACAGGATTGCAAGAATGACGCAACACTAACACTTCGCATGTATCTCACTGGCAATCAAAAAGTGGGTGAATAGATTGCAACACATCTTTAGCAAACAGATGTATTGCAAATTTGGCACTTTGTGTCTCATCTGGCAATCAAAAATGGTAATTAAGAGGGAAGCAACTATGTGAAAGTGTTCTGGCATCAGAACAGTATCACATGATTATAGCGTAGTATTAATTCGCTTAATTTTAGCCAGAAGTTTAGATATAATAATTCAGCATCTAAGCTAGTATAAAACTGGCAAACCAATAAAATTTCTCTGGTATCATGACAGTTCTATACCAGTTTCACGATAGTTTCATAATACTACCATGGCACTATCATGATGTCAAGCTAGAACCTAAAATCATATGTCTAAAAGATCGGTTAGAATTATTGTATAATGTCAGCCAAAATTAATTGCAGATATATTGCATCACCTGACACTTTTTTTTTTTACTATCTTAATGCTAATAAACAGGCCACACCCTCAACCTCAAATATGGCAACCAAAAGGGTCATAGAGTGGGAAAACCAATCTCACTCCTATACAATTATTAAAAGGCCTCAGAATAGAAAAACAAACCTCTACAATACTTAGCAACCAAACAGCCACAGAGCATTGAAAACAAATGAATACCAACTTGAGAATAAAAAGGACACAAGAATACCAAAAATAGTAACAAGTTAACATAATACTTATAACTAATTAACATTATAATGCAACTGGTTATCACTCTTATAAGAGTGATAACCAGTTGATACCCTAAGGTAAAATTATATTAAGAAAAAGAAATAAGAAATTATAACTTAAGGTATTACCAATTTAGCAATTCATATCATAATCTCAGCAATCGAATAGGTATAAAAGGCGGGATTGCAAAAATAGCATAATATTAGTATTTGTATGCCTTATCTAGCAATCAAAAAGATGGTAAATAGATTGTGATACATCTTTGACAAATGGCAGGATTGCAAATTCAATACTTTGTGCCTAAACCTCGCAATTAAATTTGTTAAATATGACAGAATTGCAAATATAGCATACCTCTGATACTTAAGAGAGAAATAAATATAAATTATAAGTTTGGCACTTTATGCTTCAATCTGGCAATCAAAAATAGCAATCAAGAGAAAAATATATAAATTGCAAGTTCAGTACTTCATGTTTCAACTCAGCAATATAAAGGTGGAATTACAAGCAAGTTCAGCATTAATTCCTAGCAATTACATAGGCTGGTCTTAGTACTTTTGATTCTCTAACTATTTGATCTTTTAGTCAGAACTGGTAAATTAATAAAACTATTCTAGCTTCTTGCCAGTATCTTGTCAGTTCCTTACCAGCTTCATGAAACTGATATGACACTACTAAGATATCAGTTTGAATTCTTAAATCACATATTTAAAAATCAGCCAAAATTATATTATAATACCAGCTGAAATTAATCACAGATCTACTATATCACCTGTCACCTTTTTTTACACTATTTCAGTATTTTAAAAGGTAAGCAAATAAGCGTACATCTCAACAAAAAGTCTGGCAATTAAACTGATATAAAAGGTCAGTATCCTTAGTATAGAAATCAACTTCTAATTAGATGCAGATAAGTGCAAAGGGTAAGCATATTAATATAGAATCTGACATTCAACCAGATGCAAAAGGTAAGCATTCTCAACATAAAACTAGGTATCTAAATAACTACAGAAGGTCACTAATTCTAATATAAAATTTGGTATGTAAATGATTCAAACATAAGAAGAAACATGTGGTATTTAAATCATATGTGTATGTGATAATTAGATTATATTATGATAATAAAACTATATCAACATAAAAAACTTGAATAGTAAGAAAGATCTAAAGATATAGTTAAAATAAAAAGAAAGGATATATAATATAGAAAAGCAAATAGATTACATGTGATATTTAGATTATAGGTCATAGATTATATATGAAACTCAGATTATATGTTTTAGATCATATGTGATCTTTAGATTATATATAATATTTAGATTATATTGTAACCCAAATGATCTTCAAAAATTGGAATTATGACACAGTAAAAAGTAATTCACAAATAATCATTATGTGAATTGATCTATAAAATCAATGACCTAATGATCTTTTAAAGTGATCTGCAGAATTAATCAGATCGGTTAATGAAGAAATGAAGTAATAGATCATTAGTCTATGATGACACGCATAACCTTTTAAACTAGAAACTCCAAATAGAAACTTCAAGAAGAAACTAGTTAAAGTCTAAGTATAAAGATGTAGTAATAAATTAAAAACAATATGATTATATTCTCTACATCTCTTCAAATATATATATATTATAGTTAAAGGACTATTGCATAGCGATTAGGTAGTCATTA